TAATATAAAAATAAAAGGCACCCATAGAAACCTATAATTTTTTAAATGATAAGTATTTAATAGATTGTTGAATTGAATTTGAGACTACCCAAATGGGATCATGACTAAACAACAACATGACTAAACAACAGAAAAACATGTAACAATGTTTTTAAAAATCATTATGATCACATTGTAGTAATACCAGAAATGAAAGCACAGTTTAGTATTAGGAAAGTAATTTGCATAATAACATTATTTATAAAATATAGGATTATATCACTAAAGATAGAAAAAAACCTGTACAAAATACAGTACTTACTCAATTATGTTAAAAATTCTAAAAGGCATAAAAGTGGAGAGACTTTTACTTAATATGGCAAAAAATATTTATCTATATCTAACTCAAAAAGCATTTTTTAGAGTTTACTATCTGTATAGCATGGTGCCAAGAGATTGAAATACAAATTTATGTAATTTAATCTCCACTGAGCCCTCCTACAATCCTTATCAGGGTTTGCTGGTAAATGTTTAACAACAAGATCTCCCATAAAAGGATACATTTTAAAGTTTAATCTGCTTTACTAACATTTTCACCACCACTTTCTTAAGTCTACACAATCCACAAAACAATAAATCAAGCCCAGATTTATGGTGTTTACTGATTTCTGAGGTGTAAATGCTCACCCACTGAAAATTTAACAATAAAATCTCAGGAAACCAATACTGAAAGACATCAGAACTTAGATCAATGCAATGAGCAATGTTGGTGTTCAATTGTTTCAGTCTTGTCTTACTTTTCATGACTGCTGATAATAGAATGGTTAAATACTTTGTGGTAAGCTAATGGAATGAAATAATATAATGGAATTAAACAAACAAGTATGAGGAATTAGAGAAAAATGGGAAGACCTTTATGAAATAGTACAAAATGAAAAAAGCAAAGGCTCAAATACATATTAAGTATGATTATAAAAGAGGAATCATAAATAGGAGTAAATGGACAAACCAAGAATCCTAATGGATATTTAAAGGAATGACTGAAAAGTTATATTTAATGCACTGAAATGTATTTAAATATAAATATTTGCATATTTTAATCCATAGAACTTGTACTTGATATTATTTATAATAAATCATTATTTCTAAAAAAAGAAAAAAGTGAGAATAACTCAATATTTAGCAGATGACAGCCACAAGGATGGGAGAAGAATGGCACAAGTAAATTTCTTGAACTTTAGAATAAGAATTTCACTGTTTTCACTCTTCCCCACCACAAGGGGCTGGGAAAAGGATAACATTCAACAAACAAAAAAAGTCAATAACAACCTACCCTATGCAAGGCACTGTGTTAGGCTCTTAAAATACAACAAAACCTTTAGAAAACATTTTCTGTCCTCAAGGAGTTTATAGGGGGCAGTGTTGGAGATGAGGGATACAAAAGTAAACACAAGATAATTTGAGGAAAGAGAACACTTAAGCCTTTGGAAAGGCTTCTGTTGGAAGTGACATTGGGACTGAATCTTGAAGAAAGCTTAGGACTCTAAGAGTGAAAAGGAAGAAGGAAATATAGACATGGGGTGAAAGAGAGGGACACCTGTGCAAAAGCAAAGAGGTAAAAGATAGAATGACAATTTCCATGAATAATAAATAAACCAGTTTGATGGAATGCAGAGATAGCTTGGGGCTTACAATGGGACTGAAAAGATGTGGAAACCACAGTAGGGAACAAGAACTATGTCCCAAGAGTAGTGACCACGAGTCAGGAGAGAGGGAGAGGGCCAATAATTCTAGATACTGTTTCCTTAGCCTAATTTGCATAAATCAGAGTCAGACTGTTCCTTGCCACAATCAACTTTTCTTAGGAGTAAAAGGCAGAAATGGACTTGGAGCCTTCCCAAAGAGGGAAAGGTAAGGAGGACCCAATCTGCAAGGGAACAAAAACCTCTTCATCATCAGATGGCAATCTTATTCCTCCAGCATAAAGGCCGGAGCTCTCCATGGGACAACACAGATTATTCCAATCTGAGAGCCTAGGCTGAATACTCCCTTCTGAGCAGCTCCAATCTCAGCCTTTTGATTGGCTTTTTGACCCCATTAAATCCCTGACCATAACCCATTATAATTCTTTATTTTCCCTGAATTTTATCAAGTTTCTCCCTCTTGACCCGCCTTTGCCCCCTCAGGACTGGATGAAGACCTGGAAAACATAAGCAATGACTTTTTCAGGGTCTTGTAGCTTGTGAGTAGCAGAGCCAGGATGAAGAATCCTAAAATCTGAGAGCTAAGATCTTAGAGGATTGTATTCAATACACATTTAAGAGGGTAGATTGACAATATTCACAACATCGGGCCATTTTACCTGTTGTGACAAAGAGGAGGATGCCGCTCCCCAGAGTAGCCCATTCCTTTTGGGGAATAGCTGCAAGAATTCTTTTTTTCATATACAGAGATGAAATCTGCCTCTCTACTTCTTCCTCCCTGCAATCCTCTGCTAAGGCCAAGAAAAATAAGCTTACTAGCTTTTCAGGAAGATAGCATTTTAATGCATGAAGCCATCATAACCTCTTAGCATCTTATCTTGTCTTCTCCAGATGAAACTTCCTCAGTTCCTTTAACTGAAGCTGAAAAGGCCATTAGAGATCACCTAGCTCAATCGTCCAAATTTGCAGACGAGTAAACCGGAGCTAAAAGCAGTGAAGTCACTTGCCCAGGGACATGCAACTAATGGGAGAATCTGGTGGGTCAAATCTCTAATATTTTTTAAATGATTTTCCTATATGTCATTTCGCACCTCTCTCCCTTTCTAGTTCCATGTGCCCCAAATCAGTCAATATATAGCATAATGCAAAAAAGTACTAGAATTCTGCCACTGGCTTCCTAGGTGACCTTGGAAGTGAGTAAAAGGAGAGTAAGTGGAGACAATGAGTATAGGCAGCTCTTTTAGGGGTTTGGCTAAGCAAGAGGTGATATATCTTGATCATTTAAATAAGGGGTTCTTGACCTTTTTGCGTGTTAGAAACCCCTTTAGCAATCTCTTGAAGCCTATGGTGCCCATCTCAAAACATATAAAATACATAGCATTGCACAGGAATCTAATTATATTGAAATAATTATATAAATATTAAAAATAGAAAAGGTTCACAGATGCCAGATTTAAGGGGATAGTAGAGCCTAGAGAGGATTTTTTTTAAAAGATGAGGGAGACTTATAAATGTTTCTAGCTAATAGAGAAGGAACCCATAGATAAGAAGAGGTTGGATATGAGAGCAGGGGATGACTGAGGTTGCAGTCTGCTGGAGAAGAATGGAAGAGAAAGGATTAAGGATATATGTAAAGACGTTAGCCTTTATTTATTGATTTATTTTAAATATTTTTATCATCATTATTCTTATTATTTTTAATATTAATAGTCACAATTACTCAGCACATTTCGGTTTACGATGCACTTTCCTTACTGCAAACGTGTTTCCAACTCCATTTTGCAGAACATTGAATTCAAGTTCAGAGGTTAAGAAATTTGCCCATAGTCACACAGCTTATAAGTGTTTAAAAATCAGCAAGTTAATTGTCAGGGCCAAGACTTAAACCCAAGGTCTTCTGATTCTGATTCTGAATCCTGAGTTCTTTTTGCTGTTCCCAATTGCCTCTAATGGTTTTGAAATACAGTGGAATCTCAGAGTTAATGTACAAAAAGGTCTTCTCCTTTATTGCTTAAAAAAAAAAACCTTTAAAATAACGTGGGGGCAGGGGGCCACATTCGGCGGGAGTTATGGGAATCAAAGGAAGAAGAGTAACAAGATTAGTCAGATTTTATACAAACTATTTTATTATGTTGATCATAAAAGAAAAAAATGTTAACAAATTTGCTATAACCTTGAAAGATTATAACATTGTTGCAAAACTCAACAAAGAAAATCTAGGTTGTAATAAAATCCATGCTGATCTACATAAAGCAGTAAATCTTTGTAAACTTCTGAGTGATAAAAATTTGTTGTCTCAAAATGAAGTAGGAAGTTAACTAGAACATTAAAAATGAACTGTATAAATCGCATGGACAAAAGTCTATAAAATGACCGTGGTTGCTCAAGATGGTTAGGCATGGATGGTTTGCAATCTCCATCTTGGAGGCACTTTAAATTTTAAGGGTTTCGTTGTACTAAATATGATGTTGTTTATAATGGACTCATTCGCCCGTCCTTCCCCATCACAGTGCATCTTCAACTGTATAATCAATGGAAAAATAGGATTCACTTTTTACAGAGAACCTTTCTATTTCATTAGATACCTGCATTTGTGCTGTGAGCAATAATAATAATAACATGGTAAATGGTGTCACAAATCCCTTTCTCAACCATCCTTAGCTGGGTCCTTAGAATACGGCTGTGGGATACAAAGTATAAGTGTTCTTATCACCATCTTAAAGATAAGGAAACTAAGCCTCAGAGATGTCACATGACCTACCAAATCTCACGGGATAGGTCGGCAAAATTAAGATTTAACTCGAGTTTCCTGGGGCTCCCCTGTTAAGATGCTATTTATATAGCCTAAAATCATAGAGATGTGCCCCAATTTCTTTCAGCCCACAGCCCCAGATTTGCTCAGCTGTCAATTTAGGATTGTGTTATCAGCACACCACCTGCTTTTTAAAGGGTCGAATGCAATTCCCTGAAAAGTCACAGCGCAAATTCAGAACTGAATCATGACTTTTGGCACGGAGCTTGGCTTTTTTTCCCCCCTGGAAGCTTCCAGAGTTTATTTCCAGCCTGGCATAGAAACAACGCCACAAATCGCCTTTTCCCACCCAGCTGGTGCGGATCCTGTCCTTTCCTTCCTGACAAGCCACGGCTTTCCTTGCCCCCAGCCCCTCAACAGGCTGGTTGAGTGACTGTGGCTCCGCAGGGTGGTCTGTCTTCCCACCAAACTCCTATGGCGACAGTCATCATTCAGCTCCTAACCAGGCAACCTGTTTGGGGAGATCTCTGACCATTCCTGTCAGTTAGCACTTGTCTTCAACTTACCTCCCAATCCACAGAGAACAGGACTCCTGCAGCCTCCTCCCCTCGGCTCAGGCTGCTGTCCCTGCCTCTCAAAAAAATTAATAAGCAACTGACTCTTTTTCCATTGCCAGCCCACGGAGCAGGCAGAACCAAGCGGACAGGCGGGACAGGACCTGCCTCCACCGTAACGTGCATGCGCACGAACGGCCTCAGCTTCTTTTGTTGATTGTCATTCAGATTGCTTTTTTTCCCCCAGGCTGAAAGACTGAGTTCTATAGAGTCAGTCCAATGGCTGACAAAGCAGCCAATTTGGGGCAATTAGCCAGTTGAGGGATCCCGGCTGACTCCGAGTTATTCTGCCCCTCCTTTATCTCATCTACTCACAACCTCAAATTAAGATTCATCCTGGTGGGCGGGTTCCGGGAAAGAAAAGTCTAACATAGTCTTTAAACCATGAATTTCTTGATTGCAAGAGTTTCTATTTTAGAATTATGCAGATCCCACTGCAATCTACAAGAGCCTGTAGATCTAGAGGTCTACTATCGGGTCTACTATCCCTTTCATTTCACAGATGAGGAAACTGAGACTCAGAGGAGTATGACATCTGAGATCACAGAGCAGGTTAGTTTAGACAGAGCTGGGATAAAAATCCAGGTCTCTTGGCTGCCAGGGAAGTGCTTCTTGGATCAATTAATTAACAGTCATTAATAGCTAACATTTATATAACGCTTACTATCCACCAGGCACTGTGAGTGCTTTTATGTAGCTACATGTTTTGCATATCAGTTAATTCTCCTACAAAATGGAGAATAATATTCCCTACTTACTGTCTTATGTCTTAATTTGTTCTTCAAAATGGAGAATAATGATCTTTGTCTACTAAATATGTACAAATATACATATTGGTTAGAAACCCGAGGAAGAAAAGAGAAAAGGAGAGGGGGAGGGAGAGAGAGGGAGAAGAAGGGAGAGAGAGACAAAGAGAGAGAGAGAAATGGAGGAAGAGATGGAGAAAGAAGGAACTAGCTAATGTCATCTTGATAACTCACATTTTTGTAACGTTATAAAGTTTAAAAAGCATTTTCCTTACAGCAACTCCACAATGTAAGTAGTACGCATTATTTATTTTTTGGTCTATACTTTGATATCATTGGTGGGGAAAACTTCTAAAGAGGATATTTTTTTTTAACCAATTCAGATTAGCAACTAATCTGCCATTTAAAGTAAATGAAGAGGGAACAAGAAGGATCAAGGAAAAGATGGATGGTGGTAGATGGAAGTAAAGAAGGGAGAAAAAGGGAGAGAAAGAACATAGTAAGACAGCATTTAACTGCTGTCATTGAATTAAGCCACCAATTCTAAGCACAGATTAGTATTTTTAATTAAATTTCTGTGCAAAAAATTTAAACCTTAACCATTGTAAACAAACATATTTACACCAATGTACATCCTAGGATTCTGATGAAAACAAAGATACATGAGAATGTTCTATTCTTCATCTGGACATCCATCATCCTCTGTGGGATTAGGTTGCAAAGGAAAAGATTTTCTTTTAGGTTTTCCTAGGTCATTATTTCCTGCCTCTGCTTCATCAGGAATTTGATTCTTTTTTTCTGAGTGTTTAGATGACATCCCAAAGAGCTCTCCAATTCCTTTTTGCCATGTGGGTGTTGGCTGTACACATATTGGGTTCCCACTCACATACTTACTTTCAACTTTCTGGGACAGAGGCAAAGGAGAGGCGTTGGCAAAGCTGGAGTGACCCACAGCCTTCTGGGGCCCTCGAGCCGCTACTACTTTGCAGTAGGAGCCTGGCATGCAGTCGGCCTTAGCTCGCACCATCACCAAAGCGGGAGTGGACGAGGAAACAACAGGGATAGGGAGAAGGCCAGTGGACAGAGGTAGAATCTTCCTGAGAACCACGCAGTTGGAAAGCCACCAAAGCCACCAATTCTAGAGAAAGCTGGAGGTACTGAAAGAAATAGAGGCTATGAAGGCAGCACTTTTTTCAGTGATCTCTGAAAAATCATGCAGGACAGGAAGCTGCTGAGCCACAAGCAAAATGTTCCAATTTTCAAAAAAAGAAAAAAAGGTAGATTCTTCAAACGATAGACTAATTAGATTGACTTTGTTTCCTAGGAAAATTCTAGAAAGTATTATTAAAGGAATGGTTTGTGAGTATTTACAAAGGGAAGGGAGATCCCTAAGAGTTAATGTGGACTCATTGGGAACAGATTATTCCAGACTAACCTCATGGTTTTTTTGTTTGTTTGATTGTTTGTTTGGTTGGTTTTTTTGACATGGTAACTATACAGATAAATCAGGAGAATGCCATAGACCTAGTATATCCAGATTTCAGCAAGGTATTTGACAAAATCATTCATGAGTAAGATGGAAAGGCCTGGATTAGTTAATAGTATAACTAGGTAGATTAAAAACTGATTGAATAGACTAGACCTAAAGAGAAGTGATTAATGAATCAATGTGACCATGGCCTGTAGCATATAGTAGAGTACTCAAGGGATCTGACCTTTACCCTGTGCTGTTAGAAATTTTTATCAATAGCTGGAAGAAAAGCATAAATGAATGTTTATCAAATTTATGGTTGAGACAAAGCTGGAAGAGATAGTTAAAACATTAGATAACAGAATCATGATCCAAAAAATAAAATCTTAATTAGAAGGTTAAGTCATATTTAATCAGATAGAGATATAATTTAATAGAGATAAATGTGATATTCTACACTTGGTTTTTTTTTTTTTAATCATCTCTATAAGTACAGGGTGGGAGATATATAGCTAGGCAACAATTTGAGTAAAAAAGATCTAGGGGTTTTAATGAGCCGCAAGCTCAATATGAATAAACAGTATGACAGGGCAACCAAAAATAACTAATGTTAGCTAATGTCATCTTGATAGCTCACATTTTTGTAATGCTATACTGTTTACAAAGCATTTTCCTCACAGCAATCCCACTATGTACACATTTATTTTTTAGTCTAAACCTGTGATTTCTTTGGTGGGGGAAACTGATAAAGAGGATATTTTCTTACCTAGTTCAGGTTAGCAACTATTCTGCCATTTATAGTCTTTTGAAGTTGCTGGAAGGTAAATGAGAGGCAAATGACTTGCCTCATGCAGGCTCATACAGCCAGTAGGTGTCAGAGCTGAAATTTGAACCCAAGTCTTCCTGACTCCAAGATTGATTCTCTATGGCGTATTACTTTTCAGTATAGGTATTCTTATCCCTGTATTCAAACTGAGGAAATTGAAACTATTAGCAATTAAATGGCTTACCCATGGCCACATAACCAGTAAATATCTGAGGTAGGATTTGTACCCTAGACTCTTGACTTGAAATTCTTTCCATTATGCCACATGGTCTCTTATATGCTAAGACTACATTAATTAGGACATAGTATCCAAGATGAGGAAAGTGATAGGCTGCCTTGGTGTAATCCAAGTCTCAAGCCTAGAGCATTTGTAGAAGACTCTCCTCACTGGTGAATGAGGATCACTCAACAATGCATGTCTTCATAGGGCCAGCATTAATGAGAGAGCTTGAGAGAAAAGGACATTATTCTTCCAACTTGATGAAAGGACACATAGAATTCCAGTGTCTCTTTGGGGAGAGATCTATAGAGAGAGATTACAGACTTTAAAAAGCACACATGTAAGGGCAACCCAGTTCCTCCACATGTCCCTGATTTCCAGGTTGCCTTCTTAAAGATTTTAGAAAATTTCCTCTGAGTGAGATATAAGTTCCTCTCTCTTGGGTGAGAAGAGATATCTTACTCTAAGTGAGAGAATTCATTAACTCTGTGTATTGTCTAGTATATTATAATCTGTATAATTTCTCTGATTCCTGTTTGCTATTTGGCTAAGTGAGTTTACGCACTATTCAATATTTGTAATGGTCTTTTATGTAACTAGTGTAACGCATTTCAAAGCCCATAGAATGGGATTCTCTGCTTATTGTTGGAGATGAATGTCTTGTTCTGAGTGAAGGGTGGGGGTGGAGTTGTAAGGAACACAAGTCTAGCCTTCGGTCCTCTTGAGGATTCTTCAAGGCCAACCTTTGGACTCCTCAAGCTTTATGCCTCCTCTAAGTTTCGAGTTGCTTTGGGAGCTTCTGGATTCCAGCTTCAAGAGAGAAGATAGAAAAGGCCAACTCTACTTCAAGTTGCTGAAGGAAAAGATCCTAGGAAGATATGACTTTAGGGAATTTTCTCTCTGGTGAGATCGAGGACTCTCTCTTGGTTGAGCTCAGTTATCTAGTGAGAGAACTCTTTCACTCCAGTGAGAAAGCTCCTTCACTCGGTATTGTGTGGTATATTTTTTCCTATACATGCCTTTTCTGATTTCTGTTTTGCTATGATTTGGATAAATGGGTTTCTTTGCTATTTTCTTTATGTGTTAATTGTGGAACTGGTATTTGGTGGATCAAGCCTTGGATATAGAACTTGGGGTCCTCCTTCCCTTCCCCCTCCAGTAATGACAAAGTGATCAGAAGCTAAGCTGAATTTGATCATATCCCCTAGATTAATAATATTTAAGGGGACAGATAGATATAATCCTAACCTGGTACCCCTTCTCTCTGAGAACAAGAGTGACCTTGGTCTCAACTTCCTGCTTACCCTCCTGGCAGGAATGAAAATCTTCCTTAGAGTAGAGTAGGGGGAGAAGAAACTAGAGATGTCTATTCTTCCTCTCTTTGAGCTACACCCTCAGCTCCCATAGGCCTCTATACATTTGGAGTTTCCTTACACTAGCACTTGGTGGAAAGGAATCAAGCCTTTGTCTATAAAGTTGGGGTACCTAATCCTCATTAAGGGAAAGCAACCAAAATGACTTGAACCTAAGCAAAATCATTCCCTAGAATAGCAATATTTAGAGGGGTAAATAAAGAAAGCTATAATTCTGGTTTGTCACCCCTCTATCAGAGGAAAACTCAGCAGCTCATGACCCCTTCTCTAGCTCTCCTCCAGGTAAGAATCAAAATATTCCTTGGAGAGGGTAGGCAAAATTTCAGAAATAATTATTCATGTCTCCCAAAGAGCCACATTTAGATAACTCAGATGAACATATACATAACCTACTTTGG